TGTTCTGAAACAAGTCTTTCAACTGGAAATTCCAGTAGAGATAACTTTCAACCAGTAATACAAAGCTAAAAATATTATTTATATTTTAAATTGCGTCGCCAAATATTCAACCCGAACCCGACCCGACTCTAGGATCGGGTCGGGTTCGGATCGGATTGCAGGTCTCTAGACCCGGTGTTTTTTCTCGAATCTTTGCAGGATAGCGCAGTCCTTTTTTCGATCTAATTTAAGTTCGCCTAACAGATGAAAACTTCTGATTATGTCGTTGAGCCGGCGTAATATATTTAGGCTTCATACTAGAAACGTGAGCATTGTGCTACACGTGCTACGTCGAATGCATCATATTCTCGTATAAATGACCTAGTAAAACATGATGCATCGCAATGATATCTGCGGAGGCTGAAGAAGCAGTCTTCAACTAATAAAATGACCAGAATTAAGATCTTCATCTCTTCTTTAATGAAAACTAACTATATTTGAAAAGCAACCACTACTATTTTGGTAAAAACCTTCGATGTTGCTTAGGAACTGTTTTATATATTCAGGAGTCTATGTTACACATGGGTATAAGCATAGCCCTTCGAGAGCAAGTTACGAGATGGCAATGTCCACACCTGCTCAATGATGAAGTATAACCGTGTTTACCCTGAAAAATAATTTGTTCAAACTCTTAGAATATCCCTCGCTTTTACTGCATATTATCAGCTCGAAAAAATGGTTAAGAATATTCACCTTCATTTCAAGATAGCTGAAAAATGAAAAGAAGTAGGTGCAGATGCAGATGTATCTTAATATTCGTGATCATCATAGTTGATTTTATATATGTCAACTAATTTTGGCCCACCGAATTGTCAAAATTTGAAAATTTGTTCGAAAGGTCAAAATTTCGTGGATATACCATGTTTCATGCGTTCTATCGAACGAATTCCTAACGAAACTAATATTTATTATTAAAAAATTAATTTTAATTTTGTCAGAATTTCGATAAAACGCATATATCTGTCCGAGAACACATTTCCGCCTTGTGAGACGCTGAGATTCGGGTAAAACTCAAAATTCTGAGTACGTACAGAAATTTTGAGCATATGTTTGTAAAGTCGCCTTATGTCGATCTTAGGACCTTGAAAAGCCTGAATAACTTTCTTATACAAGCACATAACATCATGGTCATGGTGCACATAGAAAAGAGAATTATAGACTAATAAATATAGATTAAACTAAAAGAAAATTCTCTTTCCCTTTTCCATATAGTTCAGAGTGAAACAAAATAAAAAATTCAATTTTTAATTATTAAAGCCTTTTTATTCAAAATAAAGTTTTTATTCATGATCTACATGAAAACCTGAATCTAATATATCAAATTCAATTAATTTCTCTCACTTTTTTGTTATATCTCTGAATGATACACATACTTCTGCGACATCGTTTTCATTCTTTTGCTTTTGTAGGCAATTTACCAATGGAAACGTATGCTTCAACTCGATATATTCTGGATCCTTATTATCGGCTAAAAGAAGACAATCGGAAAAACGACCTCAAATACTAGACAAATAGGTCTCCGATGACTTCCATATTCATGAGTTATATTAACAGTCGCAATTGGAATGATAATTTCTTTTCTATAATATGAACAAAAAGCCGAGAAAAAAACGCTAGGGTGTTTATTATTTCAGGAAAAGCGAACACTCTTTTATTGGTCTGTTCTTAATAGTTCACAATCTTAATCGTATATAGTTCGAAAATTACCTGGTTGTACCCACTTTTTTAGCGCATAGTCGAAATATCGCAGTTTATCCAGGTCCACGAATAAAGCGGAATAGAAGGTATTATCACGATACATAAGTCGTTTCGTGTTGTAATTACCTATATCTCATAAAACTGCTATAAATATTTATTGGACTTTATTTTGGTAAAAATATTATCGTGATATGTGTGTCATCTTTAGCTTCGAAAAAAGAAGTCATCGCGATAATTTCCAACAGAATAGGTTTATCGAAAAGTACCACGACGAAAGAACAAGTTGTTTACTGTGATGAATCATTTTTCTATTAGACAATTTGCTTGTTAGCTTTGCTCGGGACGAAGAAGTTGAAGAAATTTACTAAAAAGTGAAAATTTTCGAAAATATGAAAACGATGGTATACAATTTCAGGAAAATTAGTCATCAAGAAGTTTATTTTAGAAAAGTCTAGGCTGCATAATTTTAATAATGATCGCTGTACTTATGGCACTCATATTTTGTTGTTTCTTACTCATATAGAACGTATTGTTTTTGTATTTCTTTCTAATAGATAGAAAGCATATTTTCATTGAAAATAATTATTCATTTTTGTAAATTTCAAAAAGATCTTCTCACTCTTAGTTCCTTTTAGTTTTATTTATTTATGTTTTAGATTGTTATTCTTTTTTGGATTATGGCTTTGCTATCAATTGTTCTATTTCTATTCATTATTTCTTTGTCTAATGGTGATCATCCAAATCCAAAACGTGTGTTAGATAACATGTATATTGAATTTGATCGTGTTCGATATTGTGTACGTCGTTTAAATGCTACACATGAAATTGGTTGTCAATCATCATTATCTGGTAATACGGGTATTATGCATATGATCGATCAGGAAACAGATTTTACTTATTTTATGAATAATTTTAAATCACAAAATAAATATATAATTGTATTAAATGCACAATTATTTGATTCATCTCATATTGATCGTTTAATTGAAACGAATAAATTGAACGGTCTTTTGCTCTACCTAAAATCAAATACAACTCGTCCCAGTTCGTTTTCACATGATGATCAATGTCCAAATAATCGCAATTATACTCTCTATCCTGACCAACAACAACAAACTTGTCAATGGAATGCTAATGGAACAGGTTTATTTTTTCGCCATTTTTCATTTCCTATTATGATGATAGATGAATACGATGATTATAAACGAATTGTAGAAGTTTATCATAAATTTAATGATAGCAATACACAAAGTCCATCGTGTGGTTTAGAAATGAAAACATTTATGAATGCAGCTCATTCATCAAAAACATGTATGAGAAGAAATCAAATATCACATTTACTCATTGATGTAGAAGAAACATATTGTGATCCAGTGGGTGGTTTAAATATTTACGCAAAATTTTTAACTTATCCAGTCATGAAATCAACCAGTGATACACAACAAGTGAGTTGAGATGTAGAAGATTAAACTTAATCTACTGACATGGAGTTAGAACGATTCAGGACATTTTTTGCACAAAAAATCTCTCTTTTGACGAATTGAAAAAGCAGTTAACGAGTATTCGTCGTAATTTTGAATTGAGTTTTGACATGCTTCAAGCCAAGATGAAATCAAACTGTGATGAGAAAAGTTATTTCTCTATATTTTGTCTTTCCTTTAGATATCAAATCCAATCAAAAGCCGTCCACCAAAATCAGTTATTTTAATACTAGCCCAAACGGATGGTTTTCAATTTTTCTTAAAAACAAAAATACCTGGACAAGGTGCTGATCAACCTGGTAGTTCGTTGATTACATTTCTGTCATTAGCGCATATAATTGGTTCAAATGCCTTATTAATCGCTAAATTGAAAGAACAAGAACGTGATATTTTATTTTTAACATTAGATGGTGATTCGTTAGATTATAGTGCATCTTATCGTATTATATTTGATATGAATAATAATTTGTTCCCATCAACAGAATCAAAATATGAAGAACGTATTAAATTAGATCATATTCATTCCATTATTGAAATACAATCAATTGGTTTAGCGGGTGATAACAAATTGTGGATACACACTGATCCAAACGCAGTTATAAATCAAACATTTATTAATCTATTAATTAACAATAGTAATGGTTCAATAGATCATCTGGCAAATGTGCGTTTGCCACCAGCATCATCACAAATATTTTTACAACAAACAAATTCAACATTACCATGTTATGTGTTAAGTGACGCTAAAGAAACATATCAAAATCATTATTATCATTCAATATTCGACGATATATATAATTTGAAATTGAACTCGACCAGTTACAATCAAACAACCGATTTTAGTCTATGGATTAAACAAATTGTACAACCATTAGCACAATGTAAGAAAAAATCTGAATGCAATTATGATATGTGTAAACAGTGTGTTCAATTTTTATATGTTCATGATATTTTTTAATGATATTTGTCTTTTTTCTCTGTTTTAGCTATTATTCAGTTGGCAGTTGGAGATTTGCCAGGAAATGTATCATTAATTAATCAACAGATAATTAATGATCTTGCCTATTGTATATTGCAAAATATTAACTGTGAAATGATTCATAATTTAACTGTAACATCTGTCGGCAATACATTCTCCCAATTCAATCTTACATCATTACCATTTTCTATCAATACTTATCCAACATCTTCTACACCCACTTTTACCTTTATCGAAAATGTTCTCGCCTATTTTTTACGAGATCGATCATTTGATCGTTTAAATATGACCGAAGATGGATGTAAAAATTATACAAAAGATGTGACAGACATGAATCAATATACATATGTTAAAGGTTATAGACCATCAATTGAAAATGATGTATATACTGGTTATTGTGTAAAATCTTATTTAAAATATTCTCAATCGTTATCACCAGCATTTATTATTAAAAATTATGATTTATCGACATTAACCTATCCTGCATGGACAGAATCACGCTGGGCATTAATTCAACTGAGATTATTTGTTATACCAACAAAAAAACATGAAATAGCCACATTAATTATTGGCATTATTCTATTATGTTTATCATTTATTATTTGTGCACTTCTAAGAGTTTACACAAATATTAGTCTATTACAACCATCAGCGTCTTAGCAAATGTCAGTGATATTTTTATTGTTCGCTGGCCGATGATTATTTTCTTTCTAATTGAATGATTGGATTTAAATTCTATTGAAATTGAATAGCAATATTTATGTGTCTGACTTAGCTCTTTTCAAGGAGTGGATTATAACTACATGAGAAGGAATTGCAAGAGTCGACATATTTTCTGCTTTTTTTTTTGTTTGTTTGTTAGACTACGTACTCATTCCAACGTTGTTTATTCCTGTTCCTTTGGTATGACCATTTATATATATTCTCCGGTGTTGTACTACTAGTTTTTGTCTTATACATTAACAAAAAAAGCCATCATCGCGTAATTTTTTCTTTCGTCATTTTTTGTTTTGATTTCTTTTCACACATTCATGAATGCCTACTGTTTATCTATGTAATCCGTCCTTTAATCACGGGAGCAAAGAGACTGTTATCTACTATCCTTAATCTGTGGTAGACTTTTATTTTGAAAATTGTGTCCCACCATTTAAACAAATATGTTTCCTGAACAGTATTCAATGAAAACAATTTTGAGAAATTCTCGTTTCATCGAATACGACAAGAAGCTCTCAAGTCAAGACATTTCAAAAATCTTCTTGAAATACAGCTTTGCTCGAGTATCCAGGGTTGCGCACGTCATTTTCTTATTTGTAAACGATCAAAATTTTGATTTTGTTGAAGTTGTGATTGATCTTTTGTTCAAAATTTGTTAATTATTATAACTTATCTGTAATTTTATTGTAACAAAAAAAAAAATGTAATTTATCTTTTGTTCAAACTTGAATAAGCCACAGAGAATTTTGTTGAATATTTTTTTCTTTTGAAAGTAAAAGATAGTGATATGGATATCAAAATAAGCTAAAGCGACTGATGATTGTCTATATCTTTCCTACTCAATTTTGTTTTAGATGTCGGATTATAAACGAAAAAAGCATTCAAATCATGATGGCAGTAGTGATGATGATGAAAATAATGGTGATAGAAAACAAAAAAATATTCGAGAAAAATCTCCTCTACCATTAACATCTACAATTGCAAAAGCTACTCCTCCATCCAAACCGGTCTGTAAATATGGTCGAGAATGCTATAGAAACAATCCCGATCATTTTAGAGTTTTTCATCATCCAACTACAGATGATTTAAAATCAACTGAAAAACTACCAACAACCACAACAAAAAATGCAACTAAAAACTCTCATTCATCAAAAGAGAAAAAAGAAGAAACAACAATAGTAAAAGAAAATACACTCGATCGATATATGGCAACAACAGAAACATCAAATAGTTTTAAAGAAAAGGCAACGAGTGATGAACAGACTACAGTAAACGATGATATAAACACATACTTAAAATTATCTAATGAAAAACTATTGTTTGCGTTGTATGAAATACATTTTCCAAAAGATCTTTATGAATTTTGGAAATTTTGTACAGATATGAATGAAGAATCACCAAGAGGTAAACATAGGATAACAGAAACATGATAATTTATGATAGTTTTTCTTTTTTTCTTTTAGATGCATTAAAATCTCTTCTTAATTTTGAACTTGTTGGTCCGTTCGAAATATTAGATGGCTATCTTCGCTCTTCTTCAACCGTGCCTAATCTCCATTTACATTATCGATATTTTTATGATGTTCCCGAATTTATGACCGTTATCAAAGGAGATGAAACAACACAATTTCATATTGGATATTATAGGTACGTAATTTAATAATTTCTGCTATTAAATCTACGTATGAATTTTTGAAGCGTAACGTGCAAGACATTGAAGAAAGATGTTTAGATTATTAACATTATTCGTTTGTTATTAATGAAAAACGCTTTAGGCTCTCATGTTTTATTTTTTGATCTGACGAGGGAAGGCCCCCGACTGTCAAATCGCTTTTGACGTAAAACCTAGTGGACGACTGGTAACCGAGCATGCTGATTCCGAATATGACGATGTTTTTTGCCAATGCGTCTTTGGAGGCCCCGGTTTTTGAAAAACTGGCTTTTCACAATGAAAAACTTTTTTGACCCGTTTAAATGAAAGCGCATGTTCTAAAACCTACGCAAAACTATTTTTTAAAGTTTTGGAACGGTTTTGAACAGTTATTAAAGCGTAGCGCAATAAAAAGCTATTTTTCGGCTGTAGTATTAAGTTTCGACCCTTTAAAAACTGTTAAAAACCGTTCCAAAACGTTAAAAAATAGTTTTGCGTAGGTTTTAGAGCATGCGCTTTCAAAAACATCAAAACAATTTTGATCAAAAAACGTTTTTCATTGCAAAAAGCCAGTTTTTCAAAACCCGGGGTCTCCAAAGACGCATTGGCAAAAACCATCGTCATATTCGGAATCAGCATGCTTGGTTACCCATTGTCCACTACGTTTTACGTCAAAAGCGATTTGACAGTCGGGGGCCTTCTCTCGTGAGTGTGTAATGAATATGAATGATCATCTATAAATAAACAGTTGATAATGTCGTTTTAGGCTATGATTTTGATTAGATTCAGATAAAATTGAATCCTTGGTACAGCCATACATTATATGTAGACTGCCGGACAGTCTCGATCCCGTGGCACCGGAATTCAGAGAAAGCTATTTTACGGAATTGGGATCGGGGCCTAGAGATCTTCCGGACGGTCCCAGTTCTGCGGAATGGTCCCGGTCCCGCAGGACTTTTAATGCGACCGAGACCAGATTTTTTTGAAAATAGTCTTGTATGGAGCATAAAAATTTCTTAGTTTCTGTGCTTGTTTGGCACCAGTTCTGCGAGAATGAACTCATAGAAAATTCTAAAAGTCTTCAATTAATACCACCCACGCATGCTCTTCCACAAGCCACATTACAACGCGCTGACTTTCAAACTATCAGCGTTACTTTGAAAAAATATTTATGGAACCACAAAATCGGGACGTTTTTCACGGATTGATAAGGTAGTAACAGCAGCTGTTTTTAGATTCATCTTTATTTAATCAAAATTAAAATTAAAACTTTTTTTAAAATAAACTTTTTTATAAAAATAAAGTCGACGTTTCGAAAATTGACTGAATAACTAAACATAGGGCATAAAATACATTTTTTTTGTGATATGAGAGAGAGAAAGAGAGAAATAGACATTCATTGTAAGAGAGAGAAAAACATGTTTTGTAAAATCGAGAAAAATGAACAGACTAATACAAGGTCAAAAATGCCTTGAGATGTTATTTTGTTAAAATGATGAATTATCCTCCTGGATCGGGTAACAATTTTTTGGAAATTCCATTGGGATATATGAAAAGGGAAACTGAACATACTGTGTTATTTAATTTTGGCTGATATTCCAATATTCTTAAAGATTCTTTAATGAGTAACCGATAACAGTTTGAATCCGTTAATAAAATTTTAAACTCTTCCCAATTAATAGTATGATGAGTATCAGAAATATGTTTTAGAAGAGCTGATTTTAAATTATCTGACGTAACAGTTTCTAAGCAAATGCTTAGAAACTGTTACGTCAGATAATCCCGTCTCTATCTCGCCAGCTGTCTCATCATTGTCTTGTTTATTTGTTATGGGCCGTTTATGGCAAGCCGAGAAGAATGTCTTAAATTAGATTCATTTTGCTAAGGTGAAAAACGATTTTTAACATTTTTAGACTTTCTTTGAGAAGCATTTAGAGTTGTTTTTTTATGTATCATAGTTGTAGATAAATTATAAAGGG